GCGCTAACCGCTACCCCACCGCTCTCTGTCATAATACCAACACTAAGTGACGGTGACATCACTACGGCGCCTGTGCCAGGCTAGGTGCACTTTGAGGCTACCACGTGAAGTGTCGAAGGCTCGCTGACAGGTGGTCTCGAGGCAGATCCTGCAGGTGCCATGGGTTGGCTGACCGAGAGGACCGGTAGATACACCACCAGTTGTACCCCCCTACTGTGCCAAGCTAGGTGCAGGAGTTCTCGAGACAGACCCAGAAAGTACCATGGGTTGGCTGACCGAGATGACCGGTAGATGCACCACCAGCTGTACCCCCTATTGTGCCAGGCTAGGTGCATGAGGAGGTCTCGAGACAGGCCCAGCAAGTGCCATGGGTTGGCTGACCGAGATGACAGGTAGATACACCACCAGCTGTACCCCCTATTGTGCCAGGCTAGGTGTAGGTCTCGAGACAGACCCAGCAAGTGCCATGGGTTGGCTGACTGAGATGACCGGTAGATGTACCCCTACTGTGTCAACTTGTTGCGTTTTAGCCACCCGGCGCTCCGCCAGTTGTTGTGAGCGTCGTTCTTCTGCCCTCCGTTGTTGCTGGAGGGCGACTGCCTCAACTGCCCAGTAGCAGCGTCCCTCACGAGCCTCCTCCATCGCCCGTGTTATAACACAAACATACAATATATTTTGACTGTTGCCCCTGGGTTGCCATGATGACCCCATGTGACTTAATTCAGCCGAACATAACACGGCGAGGCGCAACAAAGGCACTTCTGATTGTCACTTGATGTTACAAAGTTGCACTGTTCAACATCAACTTTAGCGAAACGGTTGCTTCAAACGAAAAGAAATAAATACGTGACCATGTTCGCCAGTGGCAGTACAAAGTACAAATAATAAGAAAAAAAACTCGGCAACTTGCCACCATTAACACGATCCTGGCACACACAAAAACGAATATATTGTGCTATTAGCAAACGCTTCATTTCCATTAAACGAATTATTTGGTGGTGATACTGCTGCGTTGGCAGTGGTGCACACGCTCAAATGACATTCGTCAATAATGATGTGGGCCTTAAAAAATAAATTAATATCAGATGCGACGTTTTGGGTAATGGCTCAACACGTGTGCTATGAAGAACGCAAAACTCTCAATGTCTCATCAGTGCCCGACCTTATTACAGACCAATTCAGACCTTAATAATGGTCACCCCGTGCCCTTATAAATATCAACGTTCACCCTACAAAGCGAGAAACACAAATAGACAACATTGTTTTGCCCGTATCGAAACGGCTGTACGCTGTATGGGATGTGAAAATTAAATTTCCCATGTACAAGAACACGGCTAAAACTGTATGGGTTGACAGGTATGAGAATGGTTATTGCCCAAAACGTCGCACGCCGTATTATATTTCTACTTTTAAGGCCAGTGTTTTTCACGAATGTGTCGAGTGCTTCGATTTTATTTTTAAATCCTTTATATTAAGTTCGCTTGCTTGCTTGCGACCGTGCAAATCTTTCGGTCGTTGTTTAACCCACTTCTCGTGATCCAATCGAGCTGACATTTTCCACACAGACTCGTTGTGCGAGACAATTAATGTTCGTGAAAAATGTTTTCCAAAATTTTACACTGTTTAGGGAAAACAAATTAAATATTTAATTACCAATTGCTTAATACTGGCAGACAATCATCTGACCCATAGGTGGCAGCCATCTCAAGCCAGAGGACGAGAAGACTCTAGCCGCCACGCATATAAAGGATTTATAGTGAAAAACTTTTTTTTACGGGTTATACTTGTTTGTTATTAATAAACCGTTTTAGTTTCGGGAAGAACATCTATGTGCACGGGTATATTAGCATAGGAGTGAACATTCTGCTCAGATTCATTAGGTCCAATGCCAAATAGTTTAGCCTTATTTTGCAGCCACTCATGACAAACGTGGTAAAAGGTAAATGTGTTGTTTACAGCTGCGGATGAATTTCAGGTGTGTCCTAGAGGTATTTGTTAGGCTTACGGCTCTAATTAGGGTGAGGGGTTAGGGTCAAACCTGTTATTGGGCCGAGCTATTGGTAGGCTTAAAACTATGGTCACGATTTAGGGCAAAGGTTACTGTGAGAACTATGGAAAAGGGTTAGAATGCTCTTTGAGTTCGGACTAAGGTTTTGGGTTACAGATGCTTAACCATATCCATAAGCCTGATCCTTACAGCAGCATTCACCATAATCGTAGCCCTAAGCCTAGCTGTAGCCCTAACTGTACCCCTACGTCTAGCCCAAACAATAGCCAAAAGCAAAGCAGCCTTAAACCTAATCATATTACTACTCAGCCTAACAGCAGCCTTTAACCCCGAATCCTAACCATAGCAATACGTCTCTCAGCAATCTTAACTCTAACCATATCCCCCAAACCCTAATAGATGTAGCCCTAACCATATCTCTAGTATGTCGCTTCTGCTGCTATTAGAATAATGGCCATGCCCGCAAGGCTTAGGGGCTATGGTTACATATTCTGTGGGTCTTTCGGTTAAGTCACGTAGATGGTTCAAAAAAAATAACAAAAAACTACGACGTTTCGATCACAACACAAGCGATCGTCATCATGTGTTGTGATCAAAACGTCGTAGTTTTTTGTTATTTTCTTTGAAACATCTACGTGACTTTACCGATAGACCCAAATAATGTGAATTTCTGCAGTCACGAAAGCTTTAAGTCAAGCTATGGTTAGTGTTTTGGCTACTGTTAGGTTATGATTAATTGGGGTTTACGGTTGTTAATCTTAGGACTGAGGTTAATGTTTGTTGTTTCGTAATGAAAGTGTGTCAAGCCCAGTGTATAATTAATAAGCCACAATATGCTACAACCAACGCAATGTATATATGGGTGGTCACTGCGAAATACGTGCACCGCACTACGCTAGAACAATGGCGTTGAATGATTTCGTGTCGTCTACAATAAATTGGTGTGAAACATTGCAATGTTGCGTGTAATTATCGAGGGTAATTTTCGGCCTACTCTCGCAAGAAAGAGTGTACCCACAGTTTACCCTACCCCCCATCGATCTCTGCTGAGAGATGGATATTTTCGGACAAGAGGCAATTGCATCGTAAGAAAGCTGTCGTTTTAATTGCCACTGCGGGAGACAAACACCACAATCAGTGCTAGACATCTGTGCAAGTGCAACACACGACTTGGATCACACGATACGACAGCTACCAACGTGTTGTATTTGTGCCATTTTAGTACGAACAGTTTATTAAAACACGTAGGCTATATCATCCATATCATCGTTTTTTTGGGTTAAATCGCGTAAATATGTGTCGTTAAACCCAACACCACCCGACACTGCATGCCAATTCGTTACTAGTAGAGCAACACCGGTGTTTTAGGGAGTAAATCGACAACATTGAGCATTAACACCGAATGCCCAAGATGTTAAAGAACGCACAATCCTGTGGTATATACGTGCTACGAATCCGGGCCATACAACAATAGTTCGCTTTCCCGGCACAAGGCTTATAACATCCGTGGCGAGTAATTGAAAGCAACTCCTCTGGCTCTTAGTTTTTTCGGGAAAAAAAAGTCACGTAGTTAAACATAAATAATAGAAATAATAATAGAAATAAAATAATAAACCACTCTTTTTACCTACGTGACTTTACCGAAACAACCTAAGCGTACGATTCGTTGCAGTCACGAAAGCTTCAAATCTAGAATCAACTCCTCCTGGGCCTCCCCCTTGCAACGCCAATCCGCACTGACCAGCGTGGTGAAGTATGGTCAAAACCACCACACAGACCCCCCCCCCCCATGTGTCAACACGGCATGGGGGTGAGGGAGGTCTCCATCCAGCAGTGAAGAGGATTTGTGACTATGGGGACCTCATTTGCCAGTAAAAATATGATAATTGGTTCTTTACCCTTCTATCTGGCAACAAAACTGACACCTTTTTGCAAGGAGTCATGTTTGCATAGACCGCAATACCTGCAGTCATAATACAAACAAAAGAACATAACTCTGATAAGGACAGTGCACATTATCAGAGTTATGTCCTTTTGTTTGTATTATGACTGCAGGTATTGCGGTCTATGCAAACATGACTCCTTGCAAAAAGGTGTCAGTTTTGTTGCCAGATAGAAGGGTAAAGAACCAATTATCAGGATTTGTGACCTCAAGTCCCAAACAACAGCGTGTGATAGTAGTGAACTACAGTCTAACACACACAGCACACATATTCTTGGTTCTTTCGGTAAAGTCACGTAGAAGGGAAGTAATAAAATAATAATAAAACATAATAAAATAATTCTCACGACGTTTCGGCTACAACGCAAGCAGCCGTCTTCAGGTGAAGAATGAGACACTGCCAAGCTAAGAGCTTATATATAAGCTGAGTTGGAGGTGGAAGAAGAAGAGCGCCTTGACAAAATAATATGCATATCAAGAGGAGTTTAGCATATATGGGAAATGCGTAGGAGGTGGGTGGGGGGGGGGTTTCATAGTCATATTATGCCCATGCATTATGCAGGATCAACAGCACCGAGGGGGGGTGCAGTAGCATTAACAAAGGAAAATAATGTTAATTGTATGTAGCTGCAGTTACTAAACAGTACACAATAGTAGTGTACGTGGAACAGAGCCCTTTGTTAGCCTACCGAAGGCTTCCACCCCCCAACACACCGTATCGGCCTGTGCGAGTGTATAACGATACACAGTACACTATAGTAAGCATAGTGAAATCATAGTAAAACCACTGTGTAGCGTAGTAACAATGTACTTTCGTGTGAACTGTATCATCAATTTGCCTAGCGCAAGGCCTCGGATAGAAAACACCACGACGGTCAGCAACAAAAGGCACCAATTGAAGTTTGAAGAGACACGAGTTGACACCGTTTGAGGTTCTCTTTGTCTCGATGTTTGTGTGTTTATCCTAAAGCCGTCGCAATTACGGGCAAACAAACGCGGCATTGTTGTCGATGTGTTGTTAACAGGCGCGTCAAGTTGGCGTTCACTTACCAGCGCTATTCTCTCTCGCTCTCTCTCTGTGTGTGTGTGATCTTCAGCGAGGACAACAGAGAGACACCGGGGGAAGAGGCAGAGCTGAAATGTCTGAGTGAAGATGCCGGGGAAGGGAGGGAGCGAGCGAGCGATGAGTGGGGAGCGTTGTGTCCTTACCCCGGAGTCCAACTGAGATCCACGCAGGCCTCGTACGACTTAAGGAAAACAAATTGAAATCTCGCGAGACTTGGGGAAACGTGGTCAGGGTGGTTGGGGGAGGGGCTTTAAATATCGCGAGACTTGGGGAAACGTGGTCAGGGTGGTTGGGGGAGGGGCTTTAAATATCGCGAGACTTGAGGAAACGTGGTCAGGGTGGTTGGGGGAGGGGCTTTAAATATCGCGAGAACCCCGCCCCCACACGCGGTTGCTCAATGATGTCACCGCTCTGAGTTTCGAAGTCTCGCGATATTTCCTTGGCGAACGTTAAAGGAGGGTTGAATTATTCAGATATCGCGAGATCTCGCCGAAGCCCTCCCCCACCCACCCTCAACTCCTGTGGGCCAGATTTGAAGCTTTCGTGACTGCAAGGATTCATACTCTTAGTTCTTTCGGTAAAGTCACGTAGGTGAAAAATGAAATTAAAATTAATAAAATTAATAAATGAAATAAAAATTAATAAAATTAATAAAAAACATTTTTTATTAATTTTAATTTCAATTTTTACCTACGTGAAAAATGAAATTAAGATTAATAAAATTAATAAAAAAAAATTTTTTAATTAAAATTAATAAAAAATATTTTTTATTAATTTGAATATCATTTTTTACCTACGTGACTTTACCGAAAAAACTAAGAGTATGAATCCTGTGGGCCAGCCCGGTTGTCGATGATGTCACCGCATTGATTTGTAAGTCTCGCGATAATTCGGTTCAAGATATCGCGATATTTCGTATTGCACGCCTGTCAACCCGTGCGGTTTAACCCCGTATTCTTTGTACAGGGGCCGTCCATAAATGACGTCACGCACCTAGGAGGGGGGGGGGGGGGGTCAGACATTTGTGACGATGTGTGACGAGGGGGGGGGGTTGAAAAATGTGACGTCACATCAAAATGCGCAACTTTAAATAAATATAGACAACACGTTCTACTTAATAAAAAATACTTTTAAATAAATGTTTTCTCCTACAACATCAGAGTGCAGCGCCACATTAAATACGCACTACAATGACAATAGTTTAAAGCCATTTGAAGCATAATTTAATGTGGGGGGGGGGGGGCAGAGCTTTGTGACGTCATATTTGAGGGGGGTCTGACTTTTTGTGACGCAGTGTGACGGGGGGGGGGGGGTCAAAAATCGTCCAAAATCGCGTGACGTCATTTGTCATTTATGGACGGCCACTAAGTGTACTAGTGGTGAGTGCAGTGGTGAGTGTACAAGTGGTGAGTGTCTATTTGTGTTTCTCCCTTGTGATGGGACTTTGTATGATGAACGTTGAGATTTATAAGGGCACAGGGTGACCACTGCGGCTTTAATTGTTCTGTAAACACATTCCTGCGGAGGGAGCTGGTAGGAACGTTGGGTTGCTCGGTCAATGCCAGGGTTAACGGCGGCGTGGTGTATTCCGCAAATATGCCCGACTGTGAGGGCGGGCACAAGCCGGCGTGAGTAGGTTAAACGTTGAGTTTTATAAGGGCACCCCGGGGTGACCAGCCCCTCCCCACCCAGCCCCCACCCAACCCCACCCTCCACACCCAGCCCCTCCCCACCCTCCCCACCCAGCCCCTCCCCACCCTCCCCTCTCCACTCCCAAGTCTCGCGATACTCAGCCTCGATCGGCTCCTCTCGTTCTCGCGAGACTTGGACGCCACCACCCCCTCCACACACACAGGGGGTGCTCGTTATCCCACAAGACACCGCGCCACCCCCTCCTTTTCCGGCGGCTCGAGGTAATGGCGGCTACGTTGCGTTGCTCTCCTCCGACTCAATCCGATGTAATCCGCCGTCATTAAGGCCGCGCTTGCTCTCCATTTCGCGATGCTTGTGCGCGGGAGTAAGTTAGCTTTTTAGGGCGATGGCGTACGACGCGGCGTTTCGTGATTACGCTTCTTCGCGACGTTATTCTGTACGTGTGTGTGTGTTTTTGGGTTTCGTACAATCATACTCCGGCTTTGTGGCGATGTGAATTATATCGCTTAACACTTTATTAAACCTGTGTTGGTTAGTGCGCGGCGTCTCGGGCGACTTTCACGGAGGCGATAAACAAAAACACATTTTAAGTGCCGCTGTGGACATTGCGAGATGTGGAAATTATCGTGCCGAGCAGTTTCGGGGCCTATGGGTCGCTATGCCGGATAAGCCTGCGCGACCGGCTGGAACGTTCGGCATGGGTTGTTGGCCACAGCGGCGAGCAAGGGTCGCCAACCAGAGTATTAAGAAAGAGCCTCAATGCGAGATGTTAAGGAGAGTGGGTCTCCTTAACAATATCACGGAGCAGTTTCCCTAAAAGAGGCGTATGTTGGTCTAGGCAGTGGTTGAGATGGTAATGCATGGCAGAGACCCTTGGTGTAGCACAAGCACGAATATTAGGTTGTTGTAGGTTACTATGCGTGATCATCTCGGTGGTTGTGAAAATGTACGCGATGTTAATCCCAGATCAACCCATTCAAAGTGGGCTTTCCGGTTGAGAGGATGCCTAACGTGGGTACAGCAAGCGTTTGTAAATCCACTGCTGGATGAATGCCAACCAGCGTCGCTGCGTGGTTCCTGTTTAGCTATTTGGCCGCAATCCACTTAAAGGGATGGAGATGTTTGTATGACTCCTGCACGCCGTTGTGCGCTGTGTACGTGTTTCTGCCGTGTTATTTGCGTGTTTTGTAATTGTGGTTACCCTTGCGAATGAGGCCGTTTTTGACATCGGCGAGTTGGCTATCGCAAGGTTGAAACCGATCAACTTAAAAGCTCGAGTGGCGTCGAGATCACATTTGCACGAAGCCAGCAAGCCGATTGATTGATGTAGGACGGCTTTAAAGTCAAAACCGTAAGCGAATAGGAGGCATTTTCACTTGCCACGAGGCGTGACCCATGAATATCGGTGGGATCTTCTTGTCGCTTGGATCCGTACCAGGGCACACTCCCAAGGTGTAGTGTGTGTTAGGCAACTGGTCACACAGGTGTGGTGGGTCACCAGTGACGATAATTTGAACGGGTCCTGGGCCTCGCCTAGATCGACTCAACCTCAAATGAGTAACCGGTGGTGGCGTGTAAATATCGCCAGTTCGGGAGACAAAGGCGGCCGTGCGTGGTGTTGGCCACCCTTTTCCAGTGTTGTTCTGGTATCTCATAGTTGCTCGCAAACAGCACAGTCTGCTGCTGGCTATACGGGGGGGTTGGGGGGCTCTTTGGTGGATCAAGAGGACCTTTTATGTGGTTAAGAGGTGTTCCCCTATTGTATTTTCTGCCCGATGTTGACCCACGGTTTTGTTTAAATGTTGTGCCCAAAACAGACCCTGAGTCAGGAAGATGGGGCGCTACTCCTTGGACCCCGAGAATCCCACCAAATGTAAGTCTCGCCGCGGGGTGGGACCGCACCAACTCGTTCACCTTCATGCTCTTTAGTTCTTTCGGTAAAGTCACGTAGGTAAGAAAGAAATAAAAATTTATATAAAATAAAAAATTACGACGTTTCGGAGGCAACGCAAGTCTCCGTCATCAGGTGGGACCGTCACAGCTAAATTTGCTGCATCAAGTGAGGCAAATCTGGCTGTGAGGGTCCCACCTGATGACGGAGACTTGTGTTGCCTCTGAAACGTCGTGATTTTTATTATTTTATTAATTTTCATTTCATTTTTTACCTACGTGACTTTACCGAAAGAACTAAGAGTATGAATCCTTGCAGTCACGAAAGCTTCAAATCGTTCACCTTCCTCTGCAGACCTCATTTCGTTCCGTCTCCAGCTCATTCACCATTCGATTCTACCTCCTGTCACTTCATTCCCTACACTCTTCTTCTTGGTTCTTTCGGTAAAGTCACGTAGAAGGGAAATAATAAAATAATCAAAATAAAACATAATAAAATAATTCTCACGACGTTTCGGCCACAAGGTCCTCAGGTGAAGAACAGGTCTGTCGGAAAGACAGCTCATTCAGACGCTGTCTTTCCGACAGACCTGTTCTTCACCTGAGGAACGTCTGCTTGCGTTGTGGCCGAAACGTCGTGAGAATTATTTTATAATGTTTTATTATTATTTTATTATTATTATTATTTTATTATTTCCCTTCTACGTGACTTTACCGAAAGAACCAAGAAGATGAATCCCTGCAGTCACGAAAGCTTCAAATTGATCCCTACACTCGGTGTCATCGTCCAAGACACTGCCATCCTCCATCAAACTTTTCTCTCCGCTTCGTTCTCCGCAACACTGTAGTGTTGGATGGTGCAGGGAGTGGGCTCGTCCCAGCAGCATGGGTTGCAATGATGACCAACTTAGGACACCTTTGGATTGACCGTGAAAATAACAACTGCGTTACCATTCCTCTGAGCAGCCCCTCTGTTTGCGTGCCCTGAACCCGCTATGGGTGGCTGAAAAGTGGCCAGTACTGCACCTCTTCTGATCTCTAATCTTGTTGTGTCTGCGTGTGTGCACGTGGTTTTTGCGTGTGTTCCATCCTGTGTGGTCTACCCATGTGTGCCTGTGTTCGCTTGTATGTCCGTGTTTGTGCGTGTCTACACCTGTGTGTACGCGTGTTACCCCCCCACCCCCTACTTGTGTTTTCACGCCACAGCCTGCAAGGCCAGGGGATCAAATCTCCGCGTCCATTTCAAGGTAAGAATTTGCTAGAGCCACATTTTTTTGCGTTTGGTAGTTGCCGATACCAACATCATTATCATCGTCACTGCTGGAATGAAGGCACCTCCATGCTGTTGCCATCCCCTATAACGTCCTGCGATGCTGCAGTCCATCCCGTTTGCCACAACACGGTGTTAATATTGGAATGTGCTACTTTGAAAGCCTCGCTGAATCTTAAGACTCAGTTTTTGGAAAATTAAATGAATTTTTTTTGTTCTTTAACAGAAATCAAGTCCAAGTTGTTTTTTTATAACTTAGCGAGAACTCGAGAAAGACCGTGATTAGTTTAATTATAGTGACCTGGGACACCAGTGGCAAATAAAATTAAAACACAGCAATGAAGCAAACTGAAATATGCACAAGAAGACCCATGTCTCATGCAAATGAAATACATGATGTAAGGTATTCGCATACTACTAGCCATTGTCATTTAAAAGATGTTTCCAATAAGACTTATTTGTTAATAACAAAAACATTTGCCTGGATAATCCCTTGAGTTGTTATTTAGCAATTGAAACTAGACTTCTGTGCATTTCCAAGGTTGTTGAATTATGTTTGAGAGAAAACGTGCATAGTTTTGTCTTTCACCACGTGCACGCACGCGTCTCTTCGAGTGGCCATGATGACCAGCTTAGGACACCTTTGGATTCACCGTGAAAACAACCTCAGCGTTACCAAATGGCTGAGCCACTCGAAGGCAGGCGGTTTGTGTTGCGATGGTAGATCGTGTTTGGGGTGCATGCTTATGTGAGCAATTAGCGTGGTTAAAGCAACAATTGTACATGGTTGAACAACAGTCAATGGAATCGCCAGCCAAACAGGACACTGATGCTTGTCCGCTTTATTAGAGTATTTTGCTGCTATGCATTTCCACGTGATCGGCCACTTAGTTGAGCTCTCATTTGTGGCCAGATCGCTCTCTGAAAAAGCTATGTAGCTCGGTGACACTTTAACTTGTAAAATAAAAAAAAAAATTATTGTGAAGTTCCTTAATCAGATTGTTGTTGATTGAATGCTTTTGTTTTGACCAGAACACCCGTGAGACCGCACACACCATCAAGGGCATGCACATCCGCAAGGCAACCAAGTACCTGAAGGATGTGGTCCTCATGAAGCAGTGCGTCCCTTTCCGTCGCTACAACGGTGGCGTGGGCCGCTGTGCCCAGGTGAGACACCGGTTTCTTTAGCTTTTTACTGACGTCGGGCGCGTTACCCGTACGTGCGTGGGCCTGAGTCGTTTAAGAGACTTGAGAGAAGGCGGGCTGTGCACTTGCATTGCAGGCGTTCGACGGTTTGATTCCGTCTTGCTGTCGTAGCAGTGGAAACATTGGGGAAAGTTTCTTACATATGCCTGCCTGTGCCCATCAATGGGGGCGCCATAGTCGAAGGGTAAGGGTGGTGAGGTAAAGTGTGGGTACTCTACCCCCCTCCCTTCATGCAAGAGTAGATCCAATATACCTGATGACGGAGACTTGTGTTGCCTCCGAAACGGCGTGATTTTTATTTTATTTTACTTTTATTAATTTTAATTTTTTACCTACGTGACTTTACCGAAAAGAACCTACCTAAGAGTATGAATCTTTGCAGTCACGAAAGCTTCAAATCTAGAATCCAATATACCCTCTAAGGGCATTTTTGCACCGTACCTTATCGTGGAGGCCCTTCTGCCAGCAGTGGCAGTGAGCAAGAACTTGCAGGGATGCACCTTTGTTAGACACTGCTTAATGACGGAGTTGCGGAGGAATGTTTTACACCTACATCTACTAGGTTATGATGAAAAGAAAACCCACGTGAGAATAATTCCTTCATTTTAAGAGAAGTGCGAGGGGGAGATGGACCTGGCATATTGTGTTCCGCCACGCACCGACGCGCGTTGCTTCGAGTGGCCATGATGACCAACTTAGGACACCTTTGGATTCACCGTGAAAACAACCTCAGCGTTACCAAACGGCTGAGCCACTCGAAAGCAACAGGGCCGCGTTTGCGTTGGGTGGCACTTGTCGCACCGATTTTTTGTGCTGATCGTGTGCGTGTGCTCGTGCGTGTGATCGTCCTTCAGGCCAAAGCATGGGACTGGACACAGGGCCGTTGGCCCAAGAAGAGCGCCGAGTTCCTCCTGCAGCTGCTCAAGAACGCCGAGAGCAACGCTGAGTTCAAGGTGAGGCGCAAGTAGGTCGTGGTGGGGGGGATTCGGGGGACACGGTCGGAGCCGCGAGTGGGGCGCGAGGGGAGGGTTGGGTCGGGGTTGCGGCCGTCGCTTCGAGTGGCCATGATGACCAGCTTAGGACACCTTTGGATTCACCGTGAAAACAACCTCAGCGTTACCAAATGGCTGAGCCACTCGAGTGCAGACGTTGGCCGTGGTGGGGTGGGCGGTGGTTGTGCTGGTTGCGGTCTGGTCACGTTCGCCACTGTCGTTCCCCCCCACCGTCTGACCCTCGATTGGATGAGTCGTGTGGTGGTCGAACAACCTTCGCTACTCCGCGAGTTGTCGCCATTCAAGGTTCTCGGCACGCATCACGAATCTATACTCTCTTCTACTTGCCTTGTTTGTATCACCGCGATCTTGTTTCCTATTTACTGCCTCGTTAGTTCCTTGAGCCTCAACCTAACAGCATTGTGATGGAGGTTATACTTGTGGCCGGTGTGTTTGGTGGTTGTTTAACCGGTGATTGGGTTCCAAGATTATGTACATGATTGCTGTCTTCAAATGTTTCTTACAACCCACTGACGTTATATTATTGTACAGTATTATAGTACTTTTGGATTTGTAGCTGGTATTAGTGGTTGTTATATTGGTGGCTGGGTGGTTGTTGGTGATTGAGGTGCTAGTTTTTACAAGTGGATGCTTGTTGGTGCTGTTGATTGTTAAACATTACGCTGAAAGTACCAGTTGGTGAGTTGTGGTGGTTTGGTAGTGCTGATGGTTGCTACACCTATCGAAAGTTCTTTATTGCTGCCGCACCTTCTCACTCACCCCCCCTCTCACTTCCCCACTCACACATGACCCACACCGCTCCTCGCCCACACTACTACTCTCACTTGCCCACTCACACTTCCTTTCCCCAACACTCCTCTTACACCACTCCTCACCTGCTCCTCACACACTCGCACCTCTCCTCCAAACCGTGCTAATCCTCGCCCCTGATTAGCACGGTTGGCTACTCACGGCGCAAAAGATGTCCAACACACGTGACGTATGAGCCGCTCGTCTCGCATCCTCTCGCTCACACTGGCCTTGCGTGTGCCCACCCGCCGCAGGGCCTGGACGTGGACTCCCTGGTGATCGAGCACATCCAGGTGAACAAGGCCCCCCACATGAGGCGCCGCACGTACCGCGCGCACGGACGCATCAACCCCTACATGAGCTCGCCGTGCCACATCGAGCTGATCCTCACCGAGAAGGAGCACGTCGTGCCCAAGCCAGAGGAGGAGGCGGCCGCCAAGAAGAAGGTGAGCACAGCCGTCGCGCGGCGTGGGCCCCCTCGCCATAACCCTCGTCGCTCTCGCCGAAGCCCTTGTCCTCACCGTAGTCGTCGTCCTAACCACCTAGCCCTCGACCTCACCGTAGTCCTCGCCACCTAGCCCTTGACCTCACTGTAGTCCTCACCACCTAGCCCTCGACCTCACTAGTCGTCCTCACCACCTAGCCCTCGACCTCACCGTTCAACTCGTCCTCACCATCGCCATCAATCTTAATTTGGAGCTTTCGTGACTGCAGGAATTACTCGTTGGTTCTTTCGGTAAAGTCACGTATGTGTGCCGATGTGTGCTCTCTCTATGTATCTTTGTGATATCTGCCTGCTTATGTGTCTGTCTATAGTTTTCTGGTTAGATTTTTGTTGCTATTTCTTTTATACCTGATGATGATGATGATGATTGCTTGTGTTGCAATCGAAACGTCGTAGTATGCTATTATTAAATTTATTATTTTATCTTCATACGTGACTTTACCGTAGCCATCGGCGGGGGGGCGGGGGGGGGAGGCTGCCATCCTCACCACAGCGCTTGTACTCACCCTCAGTGGGGGGGTGATATCCCGAGTGCTGCCCCCCCCCCCACCTGTCTGGCGCGTGCGTCGCTTCGAGTGGCCATGATGACCAACTTAGGACACCTTTGGATTCACCGTGAAAACAACCTCAGCGTTACCAAACGGCTGAGCCACTCGAGACGCACGTGTCCACATGGGGACCCGCCACCCCCCCTCCCTCCCTCAACCCTTGGGGCTTGAGCTTCAGAGTTTCCAAAGAGGCTTTAGCAAATCCACAAGCTGTGCATTGGAAGCGTCGTGGAAGGAGGCTGGGAGAGTATTTTATGAGCGTTCACGAACGTCAACACATTCTAAATGTTGCATAAGGGGGTCAACAGGCTGGAACCAGTGGTGTAAATCCCACGTGTCCCTGTTGTAGGGAACACGTTGCTCAATACAAACACTAAGTGTGCAACATGGGACCTCCTTTGCCAGTTGGAAATATGAGAATAGTTTTTCCCCTTTTTTCTGGCAACGGGTTCAGATGTTAAAACGCCAAACTGAAACCTTTTACGAGGAATCATGTCTGCGTTAAGCACAATACTTGTGGTCAGAATGCAAACACTCCCACTTGAGCGAAAAAAAATTCTTGCTGTGGTGTTTTCCCACCTGATGATGATTGCTTGTGTTGCAATCAAAGCGTCGTGATTTGTTTTTATTATATTTCTACCTACGTGACTTTACTGAAAGAACAAAAGAGAATGGATTCCTGCAGTCACGGAAGCTTCAAATCAAGATAAAAAAACATACTATGATAAATATATGCATCGTCTTTGAAACTGATTGGTCCACACCAGAGACAGCGTTCTTTCAAGCCTCGTCTCTGTTCGAACAAGAAAGCTGTCTTTGGTGTGGACCAATCGGTTCCAAAGACAATGCATATATTATCAGTGTTTTGTTTGCATTCTGACCACAAGTATTGTGGTTAACACAGACATAATTCCTTCTAAAAGGTTTCTGTTTGGTGTTTTAACATCTTAACACCTGTTTTGTTGCCAGAAAAAAGGGGAAAACCTATTCTCAAACACAAAGTGGTTCGTGATAGGTTTTTACCCTTTAAACTGGTACAAAAACAGACACCTTTATACAAGGCATCATGTTTGCAATAACCACAACACAAGCAGTCAAAATGCAAACAAAAAGAAACAACTCTGATAAAGATATGCACTGTCCTTGAAGTTGATTGGTCCACACCCGAGACAACTTCTCTTAGTTTTTGTACCAGTTTAAAGGGTAAAAACCTATTACTATATTTTGCCACTGGTAAAGGTCTCATAGTATACAAAGTGGTTACTTTCATTGACCCCCCCCCCCCCAAGGAGGGGAGGGGATTAGGGGGTGAAGATAACCACATAGGGTATTTGAATCTGTAACTTCCCAATTACGAGACTTCCTCGAACTATAACTCGAGACCAAACTGGAATATCTTGAGACGGGGGCTTAAACCTGAAATCGCCTGTGCGCTTGACTAACTGTGTTTGGGGAGTCTCCTTCGGGGGGTAGAGGGGAAGGAGGAAGAAGATTGTGATATTTAATTTTGCCTACGTGAAAAAAACTGCACACCCTGCTTGTCTCGCTCTGCGTGTGTTATTTGCAGTTCTGACTTTATCCGTTTTTGCCACCACAGGTTTCTCAGAAGAAGCTGAAGAAACAGAAGCTCATGGCCCGGGAATAGACATCTCCCACCAGTCCTTGTCGATTTAATAAACACCTTAACTGAAAATAAACATTAAGTGGTCACGTATACATATGTGCATCTGTTTTGTTTCCCTTGAGACGGATCGGTATATAATCATCTGCAGTGACTTGGACATGCATCTGGAGTGAAGACACGGGAGTCGCGATGTGGATGCCTGGGATGGTTCTCAACATTATTTGGACTTTCCAAATGTACACCAATGCTCTTTGGGTATTTGGTGTGGTAACTTAAGGGTTGATGCCCGTACTTCCAATTTTATAGATCTTCACGGCTTTTACACTGAGACCTCCTTTACCAGTGGCAAAATATAGTAATGGGTTTTTACCCTTTCAACTGGTGCAAAACTGACACCTCTTTATACAAGGCATGTTTGCAATAACCACAACACAAGCGGTCAAATGCAAACAAGAAACAACTCTGATGATAATGATATGCACTGTCTTTGAGGTTGATTGGTCCACACCCGAGACAGCTTTTCTTAGAGCCTAGTCTCCATTGGTGTTGGACCAGATGACACCAAAAGGTGTACAACTCAAAGACAGCGCACTATCAGAGTATTGAGAGCTCGGGTAAGCATTTTCACTGAGACGACCTTTACCAGTGGCAAAATATAGTAATAGGTTTTTACCCTTTCAACTGGTACAAAAACTGACACTTTTATACAAGGCATCAGAGTTTCTTTGCATTTTGACTGCTTGTGTTGTGGTTATTGCAAACATGATGCCTTGTATAAAGGTGTCAGTTTTTGTACCAGTTGAAAGGGTAAAACCTATTACTACTTCACGGCTGTGTCATGGACAGCCACCCATCCCAAAGCAAAGGTCTCTGGGACCACCGAGATGCTGGATTTTGAATCCGTGGGAGCAGCCGACTGATAAAACCTGATTCTCATTTTTTTGGGGAGCTTCATCGGGTCAGAATTTGATGAATACAGTCGTTGGCAGCTACGACTGGGGCTGTTTTGCTGTGTGCCCCCCTTCTATTGCGGTTGGTTACGTACGGTGTGACATGGACGTTCCAACAGAAGATGACGATGCAGGTCGCTTGTCACGTGTACAGCGCGCTCTTGAGTTTAGGTCTTCACCTCCACTTAATGTTCCTGTAGTCCATCCTGCATGTGTCTAAAATAGTGCCAGCTTCTCATCGCTGCCTGCATCGGCTCGTCTTTGTTCAACCTTTTTCTACGTTGGTCAGCGACGTTCAGCTGAGATGCAGTAATCTGTCTAGCAGCAATACATTTCGAGTTGCCAATATCTTATCTCTCTACGTCTTTTCAACGTCCCAAGTCTCGTAGGCATACGACGCTGTACTGAACACGCATGTTCATAACATGTACAGTTTGGTCTTAGCTGATTTTTCTTGTTGCATGTTGCTGATATCCTAAGCGATGGGGGATCCAGTTTACCCGTCGGGGCCGTGAGCTCAAGCCCGCACACATTCTCACTCGCGTAACCCAAGTGTGGCAGTATCCACCACGGCCAACAGAGGGACAAACCCCATCCCTGGCCCCTTGTTTCTCATTCTCCCTTTTCCCCCAATAATATTCCAAGGTATCGATGACACGAGACCGAAGAAGAAGCGTGCCTTTGTGTGACTGCAGCGAGAAGTGTCACCGGTCAGCTTGTGTCTGGGCCCCTGCAAAGCGAAGAGAAGGCCACCTTTGTTAACATCTCGGGCCGGAACACCCTCGTGAGGTTTAATTATCAGGAGCTGGAATGTAGCCGAACGAATGTCAGTACATTCTGGCAACTGTGCTGCGACCGTGGCGGCGTGCAGGGTGCCACGTAGGGCGCCGCTCTTCATGGATCTTCGGCTGCACGGAACATTAACATCGCGAGTCTTGGCCAACAGGACTGGCCGATCCAGCCCAGTGGTTCGCAGCCATCGGGGGGGGGGGGGGGGGGGGGGGTTGTATTTCTAGATTTGAAGCTTTCGTGACTGCAAGGATTCATACTCTTAGTTCTTTCGGTAAAGTCACGTAGGTAAAAAATGAAATTAAAATTAATAAAAACAAAATATTTGTATTAAAATTAATAAAAATTAAATATTTTTATTAATTTTAATTTCATTATTTACCTACGTGACTTTACCGAAAGAACTAAGAGTAGGAGGTTGTGAGTTCAATTCCTGGCTGCGGTGGTGGGGAGTTTGTGGGGGAGGTTGACTCGGCCGACTGACCATCTGTAGTCGGAATTAGAGACGCTGCCCTTGTCATGGCAACGTGGAATTTCCACAACGGACTCGGGGCTGTAAACATATGGAACGCTGCTCATGAGCAGGACAATCAGTAGTTGTTTTTTATACAGCACAAAAGTTATCTGGAAGGGCGCGTGCTTTGTAAACCAACACGGAACATTTCCATCGCGAGTCTCGACCAGCAGGACTGGCCGTCCGGCCCGGCGGCTCGCAGCCATGTGGGGGTGGAGGAGGTTGTGAGTTCAATTCCTGGGGGTGGTGGTGGAGGTGGTGGTGGTGGGGGTGGTGGTGGGGGGGGTGGTGGTGGGGGGGGGGTGGTGGGTGGTGGTGTGGGGGTGGTGGTGTGGGGGTGGTGGTGGTGGGGGGGGGTGGTGGTGGGGGGGGGGGTGGTGGTGGGGGGGGGGTGGTGGTGGTGGTGGGGGGGGGTGGTGGTGTGGGGGTGGTGGTGGGGGGGGTGGTGGTGGGGGGGGGGTGGTGGTGGGGGGGGGGGGGTGGTGGTGGGGGGGGGTGGTGGTGGAGCGGTGGGGGGGTGATGTCATGGCAACGTGGAATTTCCACCACTGACTCTGGGCTGTAAACACATGAGCACTGCCTCCGTGCTGACATAAGCAGGAAAGTAGTTGGGTTTAAAAAAAATGTGAATATACAGGATAAAGCTATCGCGAAGGGCACATGCCTAGTAAATTATACGGAACATTTCCGTGCTACGGGTCTGGCAGAGGTGATTGATGGTGACGAATTCCAGTTTTTTTTGTCACAAAGCGAAACATTTAAGAGACCCCCCCCCCCACCCCCGTAATGTAATTGTGCAGTCATCTGACGGTTTGCCCGGTCGTCCTCCGTTATTTGGACGTGAACCTCAACGCCACTTTTAGCGGTGGAGATAAAAACACAAAACCACCTTTTGCGCGTTTAATATTTGATAATAACCTACAATGTCCCAAGACGTCGCCTAATTTAGACGAGCTGTTTAATATTTGATGGCGTGCAAGCTGCTAAGACATCGCTTGATAATTCCAAGAGGCGGGGGTCGTGGGGCAGTAAACAAGGGCTATCCCTCGGGTACGGCGAATCAAGGCGACTGCCTTGGGCCCCGCGCTTTGGGGGGGGGGGGGGTCACAGCGCTTTGCCGTCACGCTGCTATGAAGTGACATCGTTGAGCGTTTTGGCTGATGGGTGTTCGGTGGTTCGTCGTGGGCGAGACATCGTGTGAACTCCCATGCAGTCTCTTCTGCCTACGGGGAAGCTGGAAATCCCATCAGAATATGAACGTTTATTTAGATTGCAGGAGGCATCCGATGGGCTATAAAGTTATTTTTTTTACTATGTCCAGTAAGGGGGCACTGGGGTCAGAAAGTTACAACAACAATGAAAAAAAAACACGGTAGGAGTATAAAGTATAGGAAAGGTAAGAAAAGAAAATAAAACGTGTATTTCACGAAAAGTTAAATAAATAAAAATTAATTAGATTTTTAAAATTAAAATAAGTTTATTTCACTAAAAGTAAAATACGTTTATTTTAGTACAATGTATAGGAAAGGTAAGCAAATAAAAAGCAAATAAAATAAAATGTTTATTTCACTAAAAGTAAAGTCAACTTTTAATTTTAAAATGAAATGTTTTTATATTTAAAATAGAATAAACTTTCTTTTTATTTTTAGTGAAATAAACGTTTAATTTTATCAGGTAAAGCCCGCAGCTATTTATCTTCTATTTCAGAAGCGACCTGGTTATCACAATGTGATAGTTCAACACAAGTGACCTATCATGCTGGACATTTACAGCAGACAAATACTCTAAAGAATGTTTCTATTTAAAGCTTTCGTGACTGCAGGGATTCATATTCTTGGTTCTTTCGGTAAAGCCACGGAGAAGGGAAATAATAAAAGAAAGAAAAAAATTATTATATGATTTTATTATGTTTTATTTTTATTATTTTATTATTTCCCTTCTACGTGACTTTACCGAAAGAACCAAGAAGACGAATGATAATTGTTTTTTTACCCTTTTATCTGGCAACAAAATTGACACCTTTTTTTTACGAGGAGTCATGTTTGCATAGACCACAATACCTGCAGTCATAATGCAAAAAAACATAACTCTGATAATATATGCACTGTCCTTGAAGTTGATTGGTCCACACCCGAGACAGCTTTCCTTAGAGCCTCGTCTCACATGGGTTGGACCAGATGACGCCAAAAGGCGCACAACTCAAAGACAATGCACCATCAGAGTATGAGAGCTCGGGGTAAGCATTTACACCATTGGTACCTCATTTGCCAGTAAAAAATATGATAATTGTTTTTTTACCCTTTTATCTGGCAACAAAATTGACACGTTTTTTACGAGTAGTCATGTTTGCATAGACCACAATACCTGCAGTCATAATGCAAACAAAACAGAAGATTGTTAATTGTTCACGCGACAACGGGGCGAGAGGCAGAGACGCAAACTCCAAACACGCCGGCAGAGGGCAGTCACACAGCGCGCCTTTATCTAGTATTTTTAACAGCGGCTGGAATGTACTCCCAAATACTCCCAACATGTTTACAACAAGCAAAAGAAAAACACGACAGGGGGATGGGGGGGGAGGTTGCCTCCACTCCCACCTCGTTTGCCTGACAGAATACAGAACGGGGAGTGGGGTGGGTGGGGTGGAGTGTGGCTTGTGACATTAAACGAGAGCTGGTACGTGAACAAAAGTCAAACAAACTCCCGAACGAACAGCAAACCTAGGCAACAACAAAACCACACGCGCATGAATTCCCTATACAGAAGCAATACTTAAATTGTTATGATTAAACCCTTAACCCGCCCGGTCACGAAACGCCACCACCGCCAGTACAGGATCATAGGAATCTGTGTTAATACTGGAGGCGATCCAGTACGAAGCAGACATCACAGCGATACACCTCCACTTGCTCCGGATACCCGTTGTCTGGCTCTTGACCAACCGAAATGTGACATCGTAAGTCGTCGCTCTGCGTCCACGTCAGCCGTGCGAGATGAGAAGAAGAAGAAGCAGATCTCAAACAGTGGGATTCATCTTCTTGGTTCTTTCGGTAAAGTCACGTAGAATGGAAATAATAAAATATTAAAAATAAAACATAAGAAAGTTTTATTTTTTATATAAAATACTTTATTATGTTTTATTTTTTTTATAAAATATAATAAAGTCATAAAAATAAAATGTAATAAAGTAAAATTTTTATATAAAAATACTTTAGTATGTTTAATTTTTATTATTTTATTATTTCCATTCTACGTGACTTTACCGAAAGAACCAAGAAGATGAATCCCTGCAGTCACGAAAGCTTTAAATCGAAATTTAATTAATTTAATATGTTTTATTTTTATTATTTTATTACTTCCCTTCCATGTGACTTTACCGAAAGAACCAAGAAGATGAATCCCTGAAGTCACGAAAGCTTCAAATCGAGACAGTGCGACTTGTTTTAGGCACAACTTGGGCTAAGGGGTCATTTGCAGCACCCTGTATACCCCCCCCCCACCCCCCCAGGGTCATTATAATCATCGGCAGTAGAAGCCGCAGCAACAGAAGCATTACCATCCACCACCATCATCATCATCATCACACCCACCATCATTGCCACTTACATCATTACCACCACCACCACCACGATCGTCAACACCATCAGCAGCAGCAACAGAGGCAACAACAGCCTCATCATCACCAGCGCCATCATTACTAGCGCCACCATGGTGACTGACACCACCACCACCAGCAGTCGCAACAGCAGCAATGGCAGCAGTTGTCACCATCACCACCGCGAGCAGCAGCAAGCAACAGCAGCTGCGTTACCACCACCATCGTCACCAGCACGACCATTAAGACAACCATCACCGCCACCACCACCACACAATATTGCCCGAGGAAATAATCCATCATCGCCATCGTCATCATCATCGCTGCATCGTCACGCGAATGTACAACTCCTGGCGAGACTGCTCCGCTGGACAGGAGATCATCATTTCGCACTTGTGCTGCTGCTGCTGCTGTTGCTCTCCGGTGCGTTTTGGGGTTCGACGTTTCGCCCCACGTCACCGGCAGTTCTCCCCCCAGAAGCCCCTCTGAAGTGGAACCTCCTCCGGCGCGTGCAGCGAAGTTGCCGCGACGTCGTGCCGAAGAGCACGCGGTGGGCACAACTCCCAAATGAAAGCACACACAGCGGACAGCGGACATCAAGCGTCGTGTTTTTATTATTTATTTGGGAAGGACTGGTGCACCGTCTTGGCTAATGTGGAATTGAACGCCGCCGGTTCGGGGACCAATCGCGCCACCGCGACACGGGGGCATTTCTTCGATGGACAAGGTGACCCTCACCGCATTCACGGTCAGGTGTGTGAACGCGATGTATTAATTTTCTTTGTATTCTTTGGTCCTTTCGGCAAGGTCACGTAGATAGAAAATAAGAATACAAATTTAAATAAATAAAAAATGAAATGTTTAATATTTTTAATAAAAATACATTTAAAATGACATTTTTAATATTTTAAATAAAAATACATTTAAAATGAAATTAAAAATATTTGTAATTTTATCTATCGACTTGTCTTTACCGAAAGAACCAAAGAATACAAAGAAAATCAATCAAATAGAAAAAATATTTTTCAATATTTTTATTTAATAAAAAATATTTTTCAACATTTTTTCTTTTATTTTCTATCTACGTGACTGTACCGAAAGAACCAAAGAATATGAATTCCTGCAGTCACGAACGTTTTAAGTCAAAATATATTGATCATTACGTGCACGTTCCAAAGCTCTAATTGTTACTTGCAACGAATTATCTCTTGGGGGAGGAGGAGTGGGGAGGGGGGGGCGATTGTGCCCCCCACCCCACCCCCCACTCCGCCGAACCGGCCCCATCGAGGGGCCGCGGGTTCCGAGGGGTCGGTGTCTCCGCTTGAATTCAATTTTCCGAGATGTTAGGGAAAGGTTACGGGAACTCACAAAAGAGAAAATTCAAGTGCCTCCCCCCGCCCCATCCCCCCCCCCCCACCACCCACCTCACTGCCTTTGCCATGACAGCCACTTGGGAGTAATGAGGACATTTAAAAAAACCTCCGTTAACAATTAAAGACTGTCTTCTCGACAGACCTGTTCTCCACCTGAGGACGGCTGCTTGCGTTGTGGCCGAAACGTCGTGAGAATTATTTAATTGTTTTATTTTTATTATTTTATTATTTCCATTCTACGTGACTTTACCGAAAGAACCAAGAAGATGAATCCCTGCAGTCACGAAAGCTTTAAATCGAAAATTAAAGAGTCACGTAGAAGGGAAATAATAAAATAATAAACATAAAACATAATAAAATAATATAATAAAATAAAATAACAAAATTATTATAAATCGAAAATTAAAGAGTTGTTTTGAAAAGCGCTCGTCAAAGCGGCGGTTAGTTACGACGAGTGGGCCGCAAACATCGAGGAAGGCAGAACGCGGAGGAGGCCCAATACGACGCCAACGTTGGGTCAACGTTGGGTCAACGTTGGGCCAACGTTGGGCCATGTTTAGTGAGTAAGGGCTACGCCCTTGTCTGCTAGCTCGTGCGTGTCCTCTCTTGACACGTGTGTGTCGCAGTCACGATGACAAGGGTAGGTTTATTTATATATCTTCTTTTTCATTAACTTGCACGGTTCAATTTGTATGCTTTGGCCACCAACGTGGCTGAATTGGCCAAACATTTGGGTCCAATTTAACTAAGTTACGTAGATAGAAAAATAAAAAAAGTGAAAAAAGTATATTTGACATTTTTATAAAATAAAAATTTAATTTGTATTTTATTGTATTATTGTTATTTTTATTCACTTTATTATTATTTTTCTATCTACGTGACTTTACCGAAAGAACCAAGAATATGAATTCCTGCAGTCACGAAAGTTTTAAGTCAACATTGACTCTTTTTTATTTGACCAGGTAAGGCTCACTGAATTTAGCAGCACCCTTCCTGAACAGTGACGATTCTTGAGACCCATGATTTCTTGGGTAAATAAAGAGCATTCTGATGATAATCATTGTTGTTGTTACTACTCCTCTAGTTACCGTGACATGAGAGATGGTTTGTGAAAGCTACGGTGATGGTTACAATGATGGTGATGTTGGTGGTGAAGGTAGTGACGGTGGTGGTAGTGATTATTATGATGAGGATGATGATGGTTGTGGTGAAGGCAGTGATGGTGGTGGTGGTAATGGTAGTGGTGGTGGTTAGTAGCAGACAGCACTGGGTCTGCTTTGCGTGCCTTGTGTCACGTGGCTATGGCAACAGAGATTAAATATGCGGAGGCATTCGGCGCGAGACTGTCGCTCTGTCGTGTCCGATTAGAATACAACGAGTCTCGCCCGAGCCCTAACGAGTCTACCCCAAACACTGCCCCTAACGAGTCTACCCCTTAATGAGACTACCCAAAACCCTGCCCCTAACGAGTCTATCCCTAATGAGTCTACCCCCTAACCCTGCCCCTAACGAGTCTACCCCGAACACTGCCCCTAACGAGTCTATCCCTAATGAGTCTACCCCCTAACCCTGCCCCTAACGAGTCTACCCCGAACACTGCCCCTAACGAGTCTATCCCTAATGAGTCTACCCTCTAACCCTGCCCCTAACGAGTCTACCCCGAACACTGCCCCTAACGAGTCTACCCCTAATGAGACTACCCTCTAATCCTGTCCCTAACGAGTCTACCCCGAACACTGCCCCTAACGAGTCTACCCCTAATGAGTCTACCCTCTAACCCTGCCCCTAACGAGTCTACCCCGAACACTGCCCCTAACGAGTCTACCCCTAATGAGACTACCCTCTAATCCTGTCCCTAACGAGTCTACCCCGAACACTGCCCCTAACGAGTCTATCCCTAATGAGTATACCCCCTAATTCTGCTCCTAACGAGTCTAACCCGAACCCCATCCCTAACGAGTCTATCCCTAATGAGTCGACCCTCTAACCCTGCCCCTAACGAGTCTACCCCTAACTCTACCCCTATCCGCCGTCCCCTGGCGGTCTCGCGAACGCAGCGATCCATTCTCGCACTTCTTGCGTCTGATCCGATCCGACCGAAACCCAAACCCAACGTCGGGGTGACGGACGGGACCGTATTGACCAGCGGTGCGCAAAGAAAGAGCGGGGGGCGACGGGATGGGGGGGGGGGGGCGCGCAAATCACAAGCGTTTCCTGCGAAGCATAAAAACCAAAAACTAAAAAATTGGTCGTTCGCGCTGTCCCCTTGTTCGGCCCAGAACGGACCGGACGTTCGCAGTTCGAATCCCGGCGGCCGCCCCGGTTAATTCCGTGGCGAAGCGTGGGGGTGGGTCTAATCGAGCACGCAAACTCGCGCCTGTCTGCCGCGATGGTCGTGAATGCCGAAGGAGCCGTCATGCCGATGTCAGCACGCCACGGGAACCAGGGGTAGGCCATTGTGTGCCGGCGTCACGGCCTACAGCAAGAAAAAAAATCGCCAAATGCGAGAAGGCGTCGAGCGCAAATGGATCGGTGGGGTAAAAGCCGCTCAGCGACATCGCCCGTGCTTACTGGGCAGACTAACACCAAACGTACCGGACCATGATGATCATTAATTTTCATTGTGTCATGGGGATCACGAGACACCTGCGGAAGCAAAGGGGCCGCTGAAATTACCACCGAATGCTTACAGAGAAGAGAGAGATGAAAATGTAACTAAAAATCAAACCACATTTTCTTTTTAAATGGAGACATTTTCATCGCAAACGCCCGACGCTGGCAACGGGAAAACGGTGGGGGGGGGGGGGGAGGTCATGAGCGGGGAGCTAAAACGTTCCACCTCAAACGGAATCGTTCCATCTCCCGCAACGCATCACAGGCACCTGGAACCCCCTCCCCCCGCCGCCACCTCCTACCCCGTGGGGTCTTCACCCTCCCGTCACACCCAACAGAGGTCAAACTCATCCGCACGATCGAGCAATCGGATTCCCAAGACGACGGCAGCTAAACCATTGCCCCTCTGGCAGCACCACGGCGCTGTACGAGCTTCACAGATCCGTTTCACCCCAACCCAGAACCTCCCCCCCCCCCCCCCCCCGAGCATTCAGTTCACAGTCGGCCCAGTGCCAACCTCCGTGACTACGTGAGCATCTACGTGAGCGCCCGACTGTGCGCCTGGCTCAGTCGCCGACTCTGCGTCTGGCTTAGCGGCTGACCGGACGTCGAATTGGATGCCTGCCTCGGCAGCTGACCCGACGAACTGGACGTGCGCCTTGATGCGCGGCTGGCCGTCGGGCCCGCCGGCTGACCGCTCGTCTGCGTCGGTGCCCGCCAGCGCCCCGGCCTCTCCGTCTTGACCTGCGCCGGGCTCGGAGTCCGAGCGGGAGCAGCCCTCCACTGCCCGCTGAGCGTCGGCGTGGGTCACGTGGGTCACGTGGCTCACGTGGCTCTCGTCTTGCCGGGGACCCGGAGCGACGCTCGGGGGTTTGGCTCCAGCGTCCGGCTCCGTCGTCGTCGCCGCCGCCTCCGGCACGCCGATCGTGTCGCCTACAGGCGCCAGCGGCAGACAGGGGAAGCACAGGCACCCTAGGGCAGCTTGAGCACCTGCAAGGCTGCAGTCGTTTTGTTGTTAAACATGCAAAAATATGTATTTATATTTTACTCGCTCGTACAAAATCTACGGTGATCGGTGATTGCTTCTATCGGAAAATTTTGTGCGCGGCTGGGGGGGGGGGGTGCTCTGTGCATGGAATTGCAAATTCGCCGGTTCGTATGTTCGTACGTACTTTCGTATGTAGGCGCATACGTATGTACGGACGTTCGTATGTAGGCGCATACGTATGTACGTACGTACGTATGTAGGCGCATACGTATGTACGTACATATGCACGTACGCACGGTCTCATTCGCAAAAGAGTGACCCCGGGCTCGCCAAAATAACAAAAGGGAAAATGTAAAATAAACTAAAACAATGCCGCGAATAGAAATCAGAGAGAGAGAGAGAAAACAACCAAATATAACGCGATAGATGACACGAGCCAACTATGTAAGTGTGCATGTTTTACTTCTTTGGCACCGTACGTTCGCCAACCGTGCTAAGCAGAGGTACGGGGAGAGGGTGGCAATGACAACAACACTCAACTGCACAAGAGAAGCGCTTCTCAAGAAATGAGTTATCAATCTCTAGACCAGTGGTTCTGAAGCTGCAGTCTTGCACCCATTTTGGTTTCTCAATCGATGAATTTGTGTCTTCGATGATTTACCTTCGACACAAAAATATCTGGCCGCGTCTCGCACCCAGCCCCCCCCCCCCAGCAGAGGCGTAGCTAGGGGGGGGGGGGGCAGGGGGGTACATATGTCCCCGGGCGCCAAGGTAAAGGGGCGTCAAAATGAGGCTTACAACGTCACATTAGAACTTATTGCGGCGGGCGCGGCAGCCTGAAACTACTGCACAAATCTACACCTCAACCTAAAAGTTTATATATCCCGCCACACACAGCCTACATGTCATGTAATTACATTTTGGTTTGTGATTAAACGGGGGGGGGGGGGGGGGCGCCAATTTTATAGTTCGTCCCCGGGCGCAAAATATCCTAGCTACGCCACTGCCCCCCAGAAAGGGCATTTCGCGCCCCCTGGGGGTGCAACGTGCACTCCCAGGTGAAGAAGAAGGAGAAAAACCACTGCTCTCGATGGCGGTGGTACGACCCCCAACTCCCGGCATTGCAGCTGCAGCAGTGGCTCGAAGTTGCTCAGAGCGAAGTCACCGCTACTCAGTGGCGAATGGCGGTTGTTGTTATTGTGTGCGTCTATGGGGAGCGGTGGTGTAGCGGTTAGCGCGTTGCGCTACGAACCCGGCCACCCGAGTTCGATTCCCGCTGACGATAATCTAAACCGGTCCCGGGCCTCCCCTAGGTCGACTCAGCCTCAAATGAGTACCTGGTGCAATGTCTAAAAACATTGCCACGAGCGAGACAAAGGCGGCCGTGCCTGGCGCTTGCCACCCACCCCCAGTGTGCCGTGCCGGCCTTCGTAGGTGCACACTCGCTAACGGCACTTGCCCCAACAGTCTGTTAGAGGCTACAAGGGGGATCTTTGTCTTTGCGCGTGCGTTGTTGCGTTTGTTTATCGTGCAGAGCCAAGGTTATGGAAACACAGCGTCGCATTACTCGGGCAATGCCGTCATTGACATGACTCCGCCCCCCCTCCCCTCCTCCCCCAGCCCCGCCCGCACCCTCTTCTCGTTACCCAATCAGGCAGCACGGGGGGGGGGGGGGTCCCATTGTGACGATTATATAAATAAATAACCCACACCACGTGCCGTCCGTCGTCGTCCGAATGCCCACCTTGGGAGAAAAAAAAAGTAGTAACGGAGTAAAAAAGTCAGTTTTTGTAAACATACAGGGTGCTTGATTTTAAGCTTTCGTGACTGCAGGGATTCATACTCTTTGGTTCTTTCGGTAAAGTCACGTGAGTTTACCGAAAAATCAAGGAGTTTCCAGGGTGCTTACATTTTTTTTTAAACACTCATATGGGACTGTCGTTGTTAATGGAAGAAGAAACGGATAAATACACTGGTCAACAAAAAAAACCATTATTTTCTGGCCTGGACTTTTGCAGCTGTTTTAGATTAATTTCAGGGTGCTGATTCCAAATCTGATCTCAGATTTGCTCTATCACATCTCATTTTTATGCTATCGGCATACCCCATTTTCATTGATTTTACCCGAAATTAACTCACTTATGATTGCAAGTTGTTGCGAGTCAGTGACTGCTTTAGTGTTAAAATATGGCGCTGTATTTTTAGGATAGTGTCTTTATAACTATCATTTTATGTAGATATCCACATTTATGTAATATCTTTCTTCTGCAGTTTTTATTGAAAATGCAATATCGATATCTCAAAAACCTGATGTGATAGACGAAAACTGATGCCAGATTTGGAATCAGCACCCCAAAATGACATTACAACCGTTGGAATACCTTATGCCAGAAAAAGTGTGTTGACCAGTGTAATATATTGTGATAACGAATGTAATGGTAATCACTTCGAAAAGTCAAAGAGTATCCCACTTGTTCGCCAGCGTTGTCAACGCGTGGCCTGGAATCTTCTCCGAGCGGTTTACAGCGCCTGGAGGCGCATTTCTTGTGGCGTCGTTGCAAATTCTCAGAAGTGTTGACATTTTAGTTTGAAGCGCCCTGTGTGTGTGTGTATGTATGTAGCGCCATTCAGGCGAGGCCGCGCAGAGCTTTTACGATAGATTCCCAGTTTAAAGAAAGCAACAACAACAACAACAAACCTCTCATGCTTAGGTTTTTTCGGTAAAGTCACGTAGGTAAAAAATTAAAATTAAAATTTATAAAAGTATAGTAAAAATAAAATAAAAATCACGACGTTTCGGAGGCAACACAAGCTTCCGTCTTCAGGTGGAACCGTCACAGCACGATAGCTGTATCAAGTGAGAGAAATTCCAAGAAAACAGTCCTTGTATATATACTGGTTGAGGGTGGGAGGAGCCAAGGTGGGCCCTGGATATTATTGTTGTGAGGTTCGGTGCGGCTGAAGCACGCTGTTAACATTCAAAACTCAAAGGCAAACGACCCTGACACGGACGGATACGCAAGAGAAGGTCAATGTGGTTTTCAGACGAGCGCGAGAAAAAAAAAACCTCGACTGACGGAGCGTGTCTCGTGGTCTGGGACAAGGCACCGCACCTCTGATTAGCGCGGTTGGCTGCGTACGGTGCGAAAGAAGTTCGATACATAGAGAGAGGCACATACAGTAACATACAGAGATACATACACAGAGACACACAGAGATACATAGATACACACACACACATACAGAGATAGACACACAGATACATAGAGAGAGACATACACAGATACATACAGAGATGCACACACAGAGACACACAGAGATACATACACACAGATACATACAGAGACACACACAGATACATAGATACACACAGATACATACAGAGATGCACACACAGATACATGCAGAGATATACACATACAGATACATACTGAGATATACACACACAGATACATACAGAGATACACACATACAGAGACACACACAGATACATAGATACACACAGATACATACAGAGATATACACGTACACAGATACACAGATACACACAGATACATACAGAGATACACACGCACACAGATACATAGATACACACAGATACATAGAGAGACACAGATACATAAATAGACACACAGATACATGCAGAGATACACACACAGATACATAGAGAGACACAGATACATAAATAGACACACAGATACATACAGAGAAACACGCACACAGATACGTGCAGATGTACACGCACGGATACATACAGAGACACACAACGTTGCGTGTGTACACGCTACTCGACAAGCAGCTGTCTCACACACACAGAGCTATGTTAATGCTTTAGCGCTTTGCATTGCCCTTGTGCTGCCTGCCTTTCGTCATTCTTAGCTCTCGAGCACCGGATGAGACAAAGCCACGCAAGAGGCTGTGACTGATGTAGCCCCAATCGGTTTCGAGAACATCATTGAAGGGCACTTGTCTGACACGCTTTACCACGAAGTACGGGCCGTTCACGTGGACCCGGTGCCTTCTAATCGGTGTCGATTTGGCCTTTGAACACCGTCACGCCTCCTGCGTTATTGCCAGAAAGGTTAAAGCCATTAATACCCCTCCCCCCCGCCCTCCTTCGCGCGTGAAGGGCTCACAAGTGGCGTCATCACACCTATGCCTCCACAAATCTGGTTGCCGTCCGCCTGAGGATGCCGCTTGTAATTACTGGCGAAACGTCGGACTCGGATTGTGAAATGTCGTGACTTTGCTCTCCAACACACAAACCGGTGGTGCTGTACTAGTATACTACACTATACACTACACTCTACACTACACTATACACTACACTACTATACACTACACTATACACTACACTATACACTACACTATACACTACACTACTATACACTACACTATACACTACACTTACACTACACTATACACTACACTACTATACACTACACTATACACTACACTACTATACACTACACTATACACTACACTACTATACACTACACTATTATACACTACACTATACACTTCACTATACATTACACTACTATACACTGCACACTACACTATACACTACTATACACTACACTATACACTACACTACTATACACTACACTACTATACACTACACTATACACTACACTATACATTACACTACTATACACTACACACTACACTATACACTACTATACACTACACTATACACTACACTATGCACTACACTACTATACACTACACTATACACTACACTCTACACTACACTATACACTACACTATACACTACACTACACACTAGTGCTGAACTAGTAACGAATTGGCCACGTTATGTTATCTCGACACCCCCTTACTGACTGGCTGTGTCGGATGGTGGCCGGTTGAACGACACATTTAGGTTTACGCCATCTAACCCAACAAGAAACCCTCTAAAGATATTGGTCGTGAAAGCTTAATACTACATGTTAAACAGATTGTAAATGTTGTGGATTTGACA